CGCTATGAGCCCAGCGTCGAGGATATTCGCCCGCGGCGGGTGTTGGCCAGGGCCTTCGCCTTCGTCCGCGCGGAGGGGAGCGCCAAGGAGGGGGGGGAGGGCCGCGCGAGTGCCTTGAAGTACCTGAACGAGCAGCTCAAGGGGATGCGGCAGGATCTGCGCGTGCAGAACATCGCGGATAACTTCGCCGTTAGCGTGTACGAACTCCACGCGCGGCTCTGCCTCGAGATTGGGGATATCGGGGAGTTTAACCAATGCCAGGCCGCGCTCAAACGGTTGTATTTGGCAGACGCGATACGGCTGTCGGAGTGCAAGATCCCGGAGTTTTTTTGCTATAGACTTGCTTATTTATCGCTCAGCCAGCAGTACGATGCCTTGTCGACGGAACTGATTAATTATACCAATGCACAAATGAGGGGGTCTTCTGGCAAGGCTGGGATGGCCGAGTTGTTGCCTAAGCAGGATGTCAAACACGCGTTGAGGCTTTGTGAGGCCTGTGATGAAGGTGATTGCACCGCTATCAGCCGTTATTTGACGTACTTTCCAAGGGAAATGATATTTTTGCTCGGAATCTACCTACCGCGCCTGCGGGTTCGCTGGCTTCGCGAAATTTTATGCGGTTTTAAGGGGGCCATATGGATTTGCTTCCTGATGACTAATCTCGGCTTCACGCCGCATCATCTGCGTTCTATGAACCCTAAGTCAAATGAAACTGATACATCGGATTCGTGCTTTTGGATTGATGGGAGCAAGGAGCAGGCCAAAAAGGCCTTTTTGGAGTTTTTCGAGACGCTGAAAATTCTACTTCCCTCTAGTTTCTTGTTTGAAAATGAGATCCAGCGGGATGAGGCACGAAAACACGGCGGGGGGAGCCGAAACTCAACGGGTGAAGTGCCCTCGCTCGATGCGGGTGAAATGCGGCAGCTGGTAGAGCAGCACATAACCTATTTGAGCACTCGAAAAGACGCTAGTATCTAATTCTTGTACAATGGAACAAAGATTAAAAAATGATCGAATAACCAATAGAAAAAGAGGAGGTGTGGAAAAATAGATCAAAACTAATGTGCGAAATGACAATAATACTGATAATAATTTAGTGTGATTATTAGTATTATTTTTGTCATGTTAAACAGATCTATTTCTTATAAGATTTTTGGATAAGTGTGGCTTGGCAGTAAAATATTTTCGCAGTTACTTTTTATTTTAACTCTACAACACCCTACACTGAAATTTTTTTTTATCTCGCATCCCTCTTCGGCGGACAAAGTTTTAAAAAGTGCTCATAATATGCCGAAAAATAGTACCTCAGTTGACCGCGAGGCTGCCGTCCAGAAGCGAAAGAAGGATCACATTGAAATCTGCCTCAATAAGAATGTAGAGCCTCACAAAGCGTTTGGTTCGATTTGGAATTCATACTCTCTCCCCTACCGCGCGCTGCCGGAGGTGGATCTTGCAAAGGTGGACCCCTCCTGCACCTTCATGGGGCGGAAAGTCGCCTTTCCTTTTATCATTTCCTCGATGACGGGAGGGGAGGCCCACGGGCGCGTGATTAATGAGAACCTCGCGAAGGCCTGCGAGGCGGAGCAGATCCCGTTTGGGGTCGGGAGCATGCGCGTGATCAACCGCTACCCTTCCGCGGCTTTTACCTTTGACGTAAAAGAGTTTTGTCCGTCAGTGATGATGTTCGCGAATATCGGGCTTGTCCAGCTCAACTACGGCTTCGGTGCAAAAGAGATCAACAATTTGATCGACTCCGTCAACGCAGACGGGATTTTTATTCATCTCAACCACACGCAGGAGCTCTGCCAGCCTGAGGGGGATACAAACTTTGAGGGGCTCATCGAGAAACTTGAGAAGATTCTCCCACAGATTAAAGTACCCGTTGTCGTTAAAGGGGTTGGGCATGGCATCGACCGGGAATCAGTGCGTGTGCTGAAAAAAATAGGTGTACAATATGTCGATGTTTCAGGCTGCGGCGGAACCTCCTGGGCGTGGATTGAGGGTCGCCGCCGGAACTACGAAAACGAGGAAACGAATATCGGGTATATTTTTCGAGATATCGGAATTACTACCGATGTTTGCCTGAGGGAGTCCACCGACCTAGCGTCCGATGGAAAGCTTCATTTGATTGCCGGTGGTGGAATTCGCAATGGGGTGGAAATGGCGAAGGCAATTTTGATGGGCGCTGAGATGGCAACCGCCGCGATGCCATTTTTGGCGGCAGCTTTAGAAAGCGCCGATCGGGTTCGGGCGATTCTTCAGCGTCTTAAGCGTGAATTTCAATTGGCTATGTTCACCTGCGGCGCGAGGACCATTAAAGAATTTCGAAAAATGAAAATACTCTACAGAAACCATATATAAACATCTTTTTTTTCAAATTATGAAAGGAATTAGAAAAAATATAAAGCAACAAAGGGGGTTTAACCATCGTTAACTTTACTTATTGTGTTCTATTTTGGATTGTGTTACTTGAAATCATGTGAAGAAAGGGATTTTGAATTAGTCATTTAACTTATGTTTTTTTTTCAATGTATGACAATAAATAATATTTGCAAACCCCTTACTAAAAAATTAGCACAGAAATAGAAAAGAATATAGTTTTTTTTTTATTCTTTCCTTCCCTGGGCTCCTGATTCCCTATTTGATTATGTTGATCTTTTTTTGCTTCAGATAGTGACTTTCTCGAAAAGCCAAAAAACTCATTCAATGATTTGATTATGACATGCATTTCTAGTACAAAATGTCTATTTTATTTATCTTTGTCCCAGATTTTTCTTCATTTATTACGTTAAAAAAACATTATCTATTTTTTCGCAGTCTATTTTTTATTCATTTTTCCGAGTTATATATTCAAGACTTACAATTTCTTCTCCATGACACAAAGGGTATCAATCAAGAACTTGAAGGACATCACCCCGGCGAAGCATGTTGTCCGGGCGATCCACAACTCCGACTGCCGCACCCCAATTATCTTCATCGAGGAGGACGAGGACCCCTTTGTTTCCGTGAGCTATATGGCCGCGAAACAGGACTCCGCCGTCTGGGGTTTCGACCTCGCAGTGAATAAAAGCAAGCAGAACATCATGGACTATATCGACGTCAGCGTGAACAACGGGGACTGGGTCTACCTCACGAACTGCGATGCGGTCGACGAGACCTTCTTCCGCGACGTCACGCGCTTTATCTACCACCTCAAGCCCGACCCCAAACACTACCCCCGCCGTGAGCTTTTCCGCTGTGTGTTTTGCGTCCAAAAGGCCTTTGACCTGAACGGGCCCGCCGAGAAGCCCTTCCCACTGCTTCTCCTGCAGATCTCCATTATCGCGCGGACGGTGTCGGGGAACCCGAAGTGGACCCGCATCCTCCCCGCGAATGCCGACCTCTACGCTGAGGCCCAGTCCAAACGACAGCGGCGCCGCAGCCAAGGCCGGGATAGCGATAGCGAAAGCGACATCGACACCGAGTACCCTATCTCGGGCAAGCTTTTTTACCGCGCGATTGAACTCGACAACGACTACGTTTGCTCCCAGCGCTATACCGAGAAGCAGATTCTTGAAAAGGCGATTCGGGAGGACGACGTGCAGACAATACAGGAACAGGGGAAGGGGATGAAGGTGGATCTGGACGCCGAGCTCTGTGAGGGTATGACGCCACTTCAACTGGCCTGTGTCCTGGAGCATACGGAATCCGTAAGGGCACTTTTAGAATTGAACGCGGATCCGAATCGACCTCGCTCGACGGATGGCCGTCCACCTCTTTTTATGTCCATCGATGACGTCAAACTGGCGGAGGCTCTCGTCGACGGGGGGGCAGATTTATTCGCAAAGTATGAGGGCTTCCGAGCAGATTCACATCCCGATACCGCGCCGGACGTTGCAGCATACCTACGAAAGGAACGAATACGGGTATAAAATAAAAAGTAAAACTATTACTACTTTCCAGGGATGAACGTTAAAGATATGTAAATCTTAGTGAAATATATCTGGTACTATTGTTCTTGTAATGTCTACTACTCACAGTGTTATCGACTGGTTAGTTTGAAAATTTGATGAAAATAGTATTGTAATATGTAGCTATAGTTCATTGTATACACATACACACAAAAATTTATCTCTATGTGTTCGTATGTGTACATTTTTTATTTTTTATTTTTAGATGGATTGCTTGATGTATTTTTTTTTGTTTGAGTTTCAGAATATATGATCTATGTCATTATGTCGCGCATTCATTAAAGCTAGTGAGATATCCAATAATGTTTGCTTTCAGTATTATTATTGGGGCTCATTAGGATGCATACTTTCACTTCAACGCAGACTTGAATTTTATTATTTCTCCTTTAATCTTTCCCAACTCTACCGTTTTAAGGTGAAGTAAAACCACCAGACAGAACCTAGGGTAGCGAATTTTGTTTACTGAGGAGCATTATTGTAGGCGCTTTTAGTCCGCCCACGACGACAATGGAGGCCAGTGTACTTACCGTGCCTCGGTCTTTCCAGTATGACAGTGTCTTCTTGTTGTGTTCTTCCTAACACAGTGATTGGAACCATGGCGGTCGTGGGAGTGTACTCCATTTTCTTGGGCCAGACACCCGGATTTTGAGTCTTTCGAAGGCATTGCATGGGAACAACTGGGGCGAACACCACGCCAAAGACGTACGTTGGATGCTCGTCATCTATTGTTTGGGCATCTTTTCCAGAGGTGCTGTCGTTTTCAGGGGGATCACTACCTCTGTGCGACCTTCCTTTCCTGTTCGATCTCCCACACACAGCGAAAGTTGGGGTACCATTCGGAACCTCCTGAAATTCGGGCGACGATCACGTGTTCGTTTTAGCCTCGCTTCCTCATTCAGGGGAGGGGGGTATCATAGGACGATCCGAAGAGGAAAGCACGTGGGGGTTGAACCCAACACTACGTTCAGCTACTATAAATCGGGTAGCGGTTCATTGATGTTTCCGCACTGTTTTCTTTAATGCATGCCAATTGGACCTCATTACTGTTTAAATGCGGGTGGGGTGTAATGGATTCCCGTTGAACCCCCTTCACCTTCATTCATCGTGGTATTGAAAGCATCATCTACCGCTATTACATTAATAGCGCTGAAATGGGCCCGGTGATTTCGACTGAATGAATGTATTGAACCACTACCCCGGATCCGAGCGCATTGGGTCCGGTTTATTATACCAGTCTGAATGACGTTTACGGAAGGCCCGACAGGTGTGCCGCCTGAGGGGAATAACCGGCAACCCGATGTAACTGAACAGCGACACGGTTGGCTCTCTATATCCGATAAATTGTGTTATGGGTACGCATGGGTTAAGAGGGCGAGGTCATCGGTCTGCTTTACACCACTCAATGTTCCTGGCTGTATAGATGGGTATGGGCACAAGTTTGCCCTCCCACATTCGCAGGCTGCTGAAAAACAGTGGGGGAGAGGTCTGTGCGTGAATGGACCAGAAACACGGCGTCGCACTGACTCTGGAAGATCTATGTAAAAGGACAAGCGGATCCACTTATGGTGTATATTGTTTGCTTCAACCCTACGACTCTCACCTTTTTACTTTCTTTTCTCCCTCCACAAAAGGAAGAGGAATAAGCCGTGGCGTACTTGCTCTCTTCAGCATCCCTTCGTGCCCGCCTGGCGCGTTATGGCTTCGGGCTGTCGATTCTTCTGCGCCCCCACGCTCAGGAGCCCGGGCGCGGGTTGAATTGCAAAGGGCGGCTCCCCGTGAAGATCCTCACAGCCGCGCGGCTGAAAAAAGCCACACCCATCGCCGTGTTCCCGGCCACCGCTGTCGTCTCCAGCGACGGGTTGCTTGATCTCGACCGAGATGGATTTCTCCCCCCACAGGACCATTTCCTGCGCGCACTTCACGACGACGCTACGCACCTCAGCCCGCTTTACTTGGCCTATTACCTCTCCCAGCAGTGCTTTCTGGATCCTGAATCTTGGATTTCGGAGCGAATCCACTCGCTCCCTGCGCAACCCACACCATTGGATGGGCAGCCTTCGCACAAGGTTCTCAAAAGCCTCCATAGGGCGTTGGCGTCGGAGTACGTTTCGGCGCCACTAGAAGTCTTTCTAACATCTCTCACCTACACTCTCAACTTCTCTTTCCAGAAGGACGTCGCATCGGAGAGGGATTCGAGGGGACAGCCCACTTTCCTGCCATGCATAGCGCCCTTTCTCGATCTATTGCTTAACAGGCAAACGGGGTCGAATGTCGCGCTCCACGCAAGCACCGCCGAGGAGGTGCAGCAAGTGCTGTCTTCTCATCAGTTGGTTGGCGCCAGGCAGGGTTTGCGAGGAAAGGACGCGAGGTGCCCCTATTTCCAAATCCGTTGTTCGCGCCACATCGACGAAGGCGAGTTACTAGTGCTGAATCCGGTACCAACCACCGCGCGACAGTCGTCCTGAGCCTCAAAGGCTGGCGTCCAATGCCAATAAGGGAGGTAAGCCTAACAAGCAAATGGAGGCTGCACCTGCGTCTCGAGCGATGTTCGCTCAGCCTGCACAGCTTCATTAGGTTTCTAAACATAACGAGTGCAATTAGTGATGGGCAAAGATGAATGACTTTCTACACTGCGGTCTCTTTATCGCCTACTTCTTCACCTTTACACTTGCTTTAGTAATCGACATAATTTCCATACCGTCACGGAACCTTGTTTTGTGTTTTTAGAGTGTTTCATATCTACATACTGTTATCGCTTATATCAAAGCACAAAAGTAAAGGAAATGCGTCTGTTTCTGCCCCTCCTCTTTATTATTCTTTCTGCGTTGGTGCCGAGTGGTGCAGCGGCTACCCCTCACCGCATTCTACTGAAACGCTTCGATCAGTCCGATGACGTTCATCACCACAACCACTTACACCCATTGCCGCGCACCTTGGACAATAGAATAAGCACTATCACTATTGAAAACGTTTTCGGCACTAGGTTTTACGGCTCCATTTATGTTGGCACCCCTGAGAAGGAATTCAAAGTCTTATTTGACACTGGCAGCAGCGATATGTGGCTTCCCGCAAAAAAATCTCTGTACTCAATCAAGCGCTGCTATAACTCAGAAAGGAGCACTACTTCATCACCGGATGGGCGTAAGTTTTCTTCAAACTACTTGAACGGTCGTGTAAAAGGTGTTTTTGTGAAGGACAAGATTCGCCTTGGGTCATTCAGTACAGATCAGACCTTTGCGAAAGTGGACGATGTGTCGGGATTGGGTGATGTGTATGGCAATGCAATTTGGGATGGCGTGGTTGGGATGGCATTTGCTTCCCTCGCCTCATATGATATTAAGCCCACTTTGTTTTCCCTGGCTGATAATAACAATGACCTGGCCAAGCAGTTCGCTTTTTATCTGCCTAAGCGTTCAGGTTTTTATGGTGAGCTTGTGCTTGGTGGGTACAATCCTAACTACTTTAAAGGTAAGCTTGTTCCTGTAGCGCTGACATCCAACACCCACTGGGCGGTTGACATCACATCGGCGAAGATCGGCAAGACTATAAGTAATAACAAAATGACGGCCATTATTGATTCGGGAACCTCGGCCATTTTGGCCCCTGTAAATGCTTTCAATAAAATTGTCAAAATTACTGACGCCACAAAACTAAAATTCGATTACATCGTAAATTGTAATAATGTACCTTCTCTACCTAACCTTGAACTTGAAATCGGCGGCAAGCAATGGATTTTCACTAGTATGGACTATATTATTAAGGACAGTAATGGAGAATGCGTCCTTGGAATAAAACTAAGAAATGCTAAATTTCCTGACAAGAATACCTGGATTCTCGGAAATGTTTTTCTCAGGCATGTGTACACCGTTTTTGACGCCGACAAGCCCAAGGTAAGCTTTGCTTATGCTAAATAATTTAGCTAAAACGAATATAAAACGAATCTAAGAAGGATTGAGCAAATGAAGCTCTTTACACTGAAGAATAATTCTAATTTTCTTATATTTATCCAAACTATTGTTGTAAACCTATAACACCCTGGAAGGGGTTACATAATTTTCTTATGCTTTTAAAATATAGCATGCATATAAAATTCGATATACTTATATATATAGAGAGATATATGTATATAAATAAATATATATGCTTTAATTCTTGAAAACGGTAAAAGTACTTTATACACTTACATGTGTAATTAAAAAACGGAAGGCACATGCCTGATTTTTTTATAATTTAAAGCATTAATTTTTATAACAACGGGAAAATATTTTACGTATGGAAAAATTAATTCTGTGAAAATACGATTTAGTGAAAGAAATATTCCCAAATATCGCCCTGCACAACTGCTTTGAATACTGCACTATGATAAACAAATGAATCAGATGTGTTGGTCCCTTTTATCTTCTTATGTAATCCAGGATGGTAGTTGTCACTAGAATAGGGTTCGCACTATAAAATGCCTTACGCAGTGGTGTTGGTTTGCATTTCGAGGGTAATTAGCTTTTCCCTCATTGCAAACCGTTATAGTTTTCCAGGCTTCGCATTGAAACTCTCCCCGTGCTTTTTAATTCCCCGCACCCTTTCGGCATTTCTTAGGGTTCCCTAAGGGGGCAAGGCTAATTCTGGGCCATCGTGTTGGGTGCGCTGTTGTAACTGAATTTACGCGTTTTTGAGTAATAGGGGTCTAGCAATGACTAATTGTGTGTGGCGGGTACGGCACTTGTATTGTCTTTTCTCTTTTATTATTTGCGCGGCCCTTTACTCGCGCCGTTTACCGATATGGTGTTTTTTATCCTGGGGTGATGGTGGTGGGTGGCGAAGCAAGACCCAGGCTTGAAATGGGAACAGTGGGTGTTCCTAAATGCTGTAAATTTAGAACTCTTGTTCCTTATTTTTCCTTATTGTTTTTGTTTGAGGAACTTAAAGAAAGAGTAAATGGAGTCTCCAAAAAAAGCGTCTGTCAAACATATTGAATTTCATCTTCACCGTGAAAAGGCTTTGACAAGAGACTTGGATGCGAGATGCAAAGCATTTCAGGCCCAGATTTCACAGCTTGAACAGGACAAGGCGGAGCTCCGCCGAGAGAAGCTATCCCTTGCCGAGGATGCCAAGAAGATATCCAAGCTTGATGAGCGTGTTCATGCTCTTCTGAAGGAAATCGAAGCAAAGGATGGAATTATCAATCAGATGCGCACAGCCGTGGCGGAGGCGAAGTCAGAGACCGATACCATTCGCTACAACGCGAACACATCCATTGCCTCGTGGAAAGTTGCCGAAGAGCAATGGATTTCTGAGCAATCTACACTCAATGATTGCATCAATGAGCAAAAGACACAAATCGAAACCCTGCAAAACATCCTTAACAAGAAACATGATAAGCTTGAGGAGATTGTAGGAAATTTGAAAAAAGAAGCTGAACGAGTTGAAAGAATCAATTTAATCCGAGATAGGCTTGAGAAAGAGCTACAAGGCCTGAACGAGAGGCTTGAATCTTTGCAAAACCGAAACCTTGAGCTTGGCCAAAGCATTTACAAACTTAATCTTGATCGAGACCAAATGAGGGAAACACTGGATTACAAAGACACAGAAGTTAAAACCCTTGAGGCTTGCATTGCGAAGCATCTAAGTACTGAGGAAAAGCTGGAGCAAATGATTAATTCCCTAAACGACCGCATCAACTCTGCCAGGATGATCAACTTAGAGGGAAAGAGTGAGAAAGAGAAACTTTTATGTGATATTGTAGATGCTCGTAAGGAGAACCAACGGTTGATAATGCAAATTGAAACGTTAAAGCGAGATCTTGAGCTTAGTTCTCAAACTCAGACTATGCTTCAAAAGTCTTTGGATGATTTTCGAAAGAAATATCAAACTGAGCGCGAAGACTTGAAAGAGAGACAGCTTGAGGTTCGAAAACACGAACTCACCATTAGTCAGCTCACTTTGGACTTGAAAAAGTCGGAAAATCAGTGCGCTGAGTGGTCCTTTCGTTGCACTTCAATGGAAAAGGAACTTCAGCAGCTGAAGGAGGGGACACGAAAACTAAAAGACAGCGCCGTCATTTTACAGGAAGAAAACAAGGATTTAAAGGAGCGTATAGAGGAGATGAAAGCTAAGCTGAACCAGAATGATGAGGAGGTGGTTCTTAAATGTACCCAACTTGAGGATCACATCGAGGGCCTTACTTCGGATCTTGAAAGCATGGAAAAGCAAGTTAAGGATCGTCAAGAGATCATCAATGATCTTACGAACCAAATTGGACTTATAAACGAAAAGAATACCATGTACCACAACAAGATTTTAGAAGAATCAGGAACCTCTGAAGGATTACAAAACGAAATCGTTCGCCAGTTTAACGAGGCACAATTGAGCGCGCGGGAGGTTTTTACGCTGAGATGTATGTCAGAAAAGCAAGAGCAGGTGATGGCTCATCTTAACAACATCATAAGCATTTTCGATACTGAGCGAGTTTCACTGTTTTCCTTACTAGTACTTTCCCAGAGCGAGTCTCTTTCAAGGCAAAAAAAAATGGATGACCTTGCGAGCACAATTGCTAGTCGTGAAGCTATTTGTGGTGAACTTCAAGCTCGCGCCGAGGCCCAAAGTATGGAGGTGCAGACCCTACAAACAAAGCTTGTGGAGCAGGATAATCGGTGTACAGCGCATACACAGGAAATGGAAAATCTCAGAACACAACTCACAACCACGTGTAGTTTGACGGAAGAAAAGCAGCAAGCCAACGAAAAGTTGATCTCTGGTATGCTTCGTCTCGAGAATGAAAAACAAGAGCAGGCAGAGCGATGGGCACTGAAGCTAGACCAACAAAAACGCTTCATTTCTACTATTTTATCCCAAGAAAAAACGGCGATCTCAATCTTTGATGAGAAGCTATCCTCATTTCATCTGTGTGCAATGGAAAAGATTGAGTGCTTCGAACAGGTCATCGGCGTATTCCTTGAAGATACCCATAGCCATTTGAGGGAGGAAGTCAAGGCCAAACGTAATGCCCTCCTCAGAGGCAAGGAAATGTCTGCCTTCATCGAAGAAATCAAGGCATCTAGCAATAGTAATCTTATTGCTGCTATGGAGAAGCAAAACATGCTCCAACAAAAAATAGATACACTTGTCAAACAGCTACAGGCGGCAAAAACAGAAACCAAACAAACGGAAATTCACTTGAATGCGCTGCTGTTAAGGTTTGAAAACGAGCAAAAGGCAGCCGGTGTATTTAAAAAGGAGTCGCAGAAAGCACTTAAAGATGAGAAAACGCGACTGGAGGAGATGGAAAAACGGAATCGAAAACTTCGAGATGGGTTAGAGTATGAGATAAAGCGTAAATGCGAGTACAAAGTTGCACTGGAGGAAGTGAAGCGCCTTCGTGAAGAGGGTGAACGGTATCGCATGAAAGAAAAAGAAACAGCTACGGAAGCCATCAAGTCGGCTAATGAGGAAACGAGGTACTGGGTGGAGAATTTTGATAAATTTAAAACTATCGTCGAGACAAGTCGCCGAACCGGAACACGCATTCCCTCCGTCGATCCTGATACTTGCAACCGTCTAGAATCAGCAAGATCAAGACTATCCGAGGCTTTGCAGCCACAACGCATTAATCAATCCATGCATAACGACTTGAAGCTTAAACGACAACGAGTAGATTTTTGTGAGTAGATATATCTTTTTTTTCTTTGTATTTTGTACTAGAAATCACTGACGACAGTGTCCCTCTTTCTTCGCTTAAATATCTATTGTTTTAGGGGGGTAGGAGGGATATATTTTGGTTGTCTCTTCCCTTTTCTTGCATGGTTTCCGAATTGCTCTCTCTTCACCTCATTCCTTTTTCTGTATTTTCAATAAATAATACACCAAAAAGTTAGCTGTGGTGCTTTTGGGGTTTATAAGTATTTTGCTATTGTATCGTCTAGGCATTTCCATCCCTCATTCCTTAAATGTAATTTGTCTTTACCTACGGTTTAAATGCTAAAAAATGGGAAACCCTTTTTCAAGGCCAGCATAACTGCTTTCAATCCATGGAAGAAGCGACCTGGTGGGCTTAATTTACATGGCAGACCTCAGATGGTTAGTCCTGGCTATTTCAAAGGGGTTTATCGCCGAAGGAACCCTGACGATCCGACGCGCTTACTGAAGCCAAGCCATGTGATTTTGAAGCGCTGCCCCGCATGCCAGCGCACAAAATTTATTCCGCTCCCTGAGAAGAATCACTTCCACACTTGTTGTGAAGGTCAGACCATGAAGTTCTACGCTAATATGAAGAATGTGATGGATTCGGAGCATAAACTGATTGAGATCACGCGCCAGTGGGATGTGGAGAACCAGAGGCCGTGGGATAACTCGCACCGACCCAAGCCCAAGGGTCGTTCAAAACTAAAGAAATGATCTCGAGCGAGCCGAATGCTAAGTTTTTTAATGCCTTCGGAAAGGTTGGGCATTGAGCGAATACTGGGGTGGGGGGGAGAAAGATATGCACTCATCGTAAGGATTATTAATAGGGGAGTGCCCACTGGTATCCCTAACATACTAAAACTGCGGAGATGGTAATCCATCACACACACACACCATAAAATGGTTCATTCTTTTTTCGTTTAAAAATTTTTTTCTGTACACCTGTTCTTAGGATTGTAGAACTTAGAGAATTAAGTGGAACTAAACTATCGCATAATGGTTGCAAAAAATGGACGTAAGAAGGGCAAGAAGAAAGGCCAGGCCAAGCGGACACCAGAGCAAATTGCTGCTGAGGCGGAAGCTCTGCGAAAAGTTGAGCTTCAAAAGTTGGAAGAACGAGCCCTCGTTTTTCTTGACCAGGAGAACGACCGTAGAGCGCAAGAGGAACAAAAGGAACAAAGTGTCCGAGTTCAAGAAAAACTACAACTGCAGCTTAAGGAAAGGGATGCCTCCATCGATGAATTGAAGGCCAAGCTTGTTGAGGCTAACAATATAATTAACACCGATCGCCAAAACAATGTATCCCAAATTCAGGAGCTTTCGATACACTGTCAATCACTGCTTAATGAGGTAAGTCACCTCCGTTCGGTCGACAACGAAAGGAGACTACAACACTCGAACGAAATACGGGAAAGGGTGTGTGAGATTCAGAAGCTCAAGGATGAAATATCGGTGCTCAATGTCCAGGCGACCGATGAGAAAGAAACCTTAAACGAAAAACTATTAATATTGCAATCAGCTGTCGAAGCAAAGCAAGACGTAGTGATCGATACGGTGTCGGTAAGCACGAAAAAGAGCCAAGAACACGATGAGTATTTCATAGCGTCCTTTGATAAGATGGAAAAGGTACTAATACACAACTCCGAGCTTCGGGATGAGGTGCGTCGATCGAGAATCAACCAAGGCGAGGCGACCGCCATTGTGCAGATTCTCCACGCGCAGCTCGACAGCAATAGGCATCAGCTGCACGACATCCTCACGGAGGCCAAAAATGACCTTCTCCACGCCAAGGAAGAGCTAACGCGTTTGCAGGCCGAAAAAGGCGGCCTCCACGAGGCTCTGGAGGAGAAAGACCGACAACTGGCCAAATTAAAGCACCGCGTGAAGGCCGAGCGCCACGACTTCCAGCACCAGCTCGACCAAATCAACTTCGACTCGCAGTACCTCACGAGCGAGATCCAGACGATGCGCGCGGACTTCCTCCAGACCCTTGCCGAGCTCGACCAGACCAAAACCACCGCGGAGGCGGAATCGACCCGGCTTTTGATCGAGCTGGAGTCGGCGGCCCGCCGGAGCGGGGAGTTGGAGGCCCTCTTGCGCGGCCGCCAGGCCGAACACCAGGAGCGGCTTTCGTTGCTCGACGCG